ATCACTTGTCTGCTATCTCACAATTCAGTTAGGTAACCCTGAAAGGTAGTTATTATCCCCCTTTTGTAGATAAGGAAACAGATGCCCAGAGAGGAAATAACTTGTTTGAGGACACCACTATATAAGAAATCCTTTATTTTTTTTTAACTTAATACTTGTATAACTTTGCGTATATTAATAGCAAGTACATCTGTTTTTTAAGATACAGTGAAAAAACATGATTTCACCCAAATCCACCTCATTTGTAAACCACACATGGTTGCACATTTTTGTCAAACAGTGTATTTTTTTACAAAAGGGCAAACCACTAAGAAATGAGCTTACATTCAAGATTCATTAAAAAAGAGAAACTTAGTTTTGTTGTTAGAGTTTAAACTATGTTCACTTGTCTTTTATACTCCGCATTTTCACTAGTTAAATGAAAACTAATTGCAAGAATCATATTTTGGTCCGGAACAATGTAGAACCAAATTAAAATAATATACTCTGTGTATATTCATAAAATATATATGTATAGTGGTTGAGGCTATCACAAAAAAGGCCCCTCTCCATTTTTATTATTATTACTTTCTTTTAATAGAAAACTATAAATTTTTTATGATTATTGGTCAAAGATTTTAGAATAATCTGTTAAAATTTCTATATATTCACATATAATAGAATTAATTAGAAATGAATAAACTAACATTTGTGGGGGAAATTAATTGTCAGGATAAATTAAAACTTTATGTGGAAAGAAGTCCTGTGTCAAAATTAAGAGAAGGAGCAATCAAACTTAGAAAATGAGAGAAATTTAATTTTTATAAATTAGGATAATAAACCCATGTTTTCATCATAGCAAGAAATATTGTAACTTCTCAAAATCATATATTAAAAAATGTGTGTGACTTTATCATATGATATTGCTCTTCATTCACTGAGTAAACCAGTTAGGGATGAAAGAAGATAGGCATTAGCATCATTGCAACCCATGTAATTCTCTTCAAGACCTACATGTGTCCTAAATACCCAGGTCTCATTTATGTAATCTCTCTATCCTCCTTTGGGGGAGTAATTTGTGTTTGCTCTTTTCTGTTTTGCTTGTTTAGTCTAGCTGAGGATTTACCAAATATTTAGGTATTCTCAGAGAAGCAGATTTTGGCTTTTTTTCATTATTGCTTTCTATTCTATTGATTTTTGCTCTTTAATGTTTCCTTCCTTCTCCCTATTTTGGTTTTACTTTTTGCTCGTCTTTTTCTGGCATCTTAGGATGAAACCTTAGGTATTTGATTTTAGACCTTTCTTCTTTTTTAATATAAACATTTAAAGCTATAAGATTACCTCTAAACATTGCTTTTAGCTCATCTTGTAAATTTTCCTATATTGTATTTTCACTGTCATTCAGTTCAAAATATTTTCTAATTTTTCTTGTGATTTCTAATGAATTATTTAGAAGAGTATTTAATTTCTCTGTATCTTTTTCTAGATATTTTATTGTTATTAAACTCTAGTTTAATTCTGTTGTGGTCAGATAAACATTTTGTATGATTTCTATTTATGAATTGATCCTTTGATCATGATGAAGTATCTATTTTTTTTTTTTGGTGATACCTTTTAGTTTCTTAAGTCTAATTTATCTGATATTAATATATTCATTCCACCCTTCCTGTGCTTACTGTTTGCATGATATATCTATTTTTAGCCATTACTTTCAACCTGTGTCTGTAAATTTAAAGTAAATATCTTGTAGATAGCATGTAGTTGTGTGTTGCCTTTTGATTCATTTGGACAAGATTTTTTTTTTTTTCTTAAGAGAGAGAGTAAAGGGGTGGAGGGGCAGAGGGAGAGGGAGAGAGAATCTTAAGCAGGTTGCACTCCCAGCACACAGTCCAACTCGGGGCTCATCTCACAAACCTGAGATCATGACCTGAGCCGAAATCAAGAGTCAGACACCTAAACCGACTAAGCCACCCGGGCACCCCAGGACAAGTTCTTCTTCTTCTTCTTTTTTTTTTTTTAAAGATTTTATTTCTTTATTTGACAGAGAGAGAGATAGCAAGAGCAGGAACACAAGCAGGGGGAGTGGGAGAGGGAGAAGCAGGCTTCCCGCGGAGCAGGGAGCCCAATGTGGGGCTCGGTCCCAGGACCCTGGGATCATGACCTGAGCTGAAGGCAGAAGCTTAACAACTGAGCCACCCAGGTGCGCCCCCCTTTTTTTTAAAGAAGGACAAGCTGTTTTTAATTAAGGTATTGATTCTATTAATATTTAAGATATTTATTGATATATTTGGATTTAAGTCTACCATCTGATATATATCTATTTTATTATTTTATATGCATACTTTATTTTGTTTTACATATTTTATATACACATAATATTTATTTTATATAATATTTTATATTATTTTATTTTAAATTTTTATGTTTGTCCCTCTGATTTTTCTTTGTACTTCTTTTCCAGCCTCCTTTTGGATTAATGAATATTTTTAAGAATTCTTGTTTATCTCATCCTTTGGCTTTTTAGCTATACATATTTGCATTTCTTTTTCTAAGGATTACACACACCCCCTTACCATTTCAGTGTACTTAGAGTTACTCTTTCAGCATTCATATGAAATATAGAAACCTTATAACTGTATAGGTTTCCATTTACATGCCATGTATTTTATTTTATAGAGATTATATGTATTATATCTACCTTCATTATAAGCTCTACAATGAAACACTGTAATTTTTACTTTAAGCCCACACGTGTGCCCCCCCCCACACATACATATGTATTTTTTTTTTTTAAGTAGTCTCCATGCCTGACAGGGAGCCCAATGCAGGCCTTGAACTCAATGACCCTGAGATCAAGACCTGAGTCGAGATTGAGAGTCAAACACTTAGTGACTGGCACTCAAGCACATATATATTTTTTAAATAAATTAAGGGAAGTAGTTTTTTAATATTTCCACATATATTTAGCATTTCCAGTGGTCTTCATTCTTTCTTAAAGATCCCAAGTTTTCATCTATCATCATTCTCTTCAGCCTTCTCTTTAGAACTTAATGTAATACAGATTTACTATTGATGATTATGGTTTATTCTTTCCTTTATCTTAAAAATGTCTTTATTTTACTTTCATTTTTGAGGGATATTTTTGCTAAAAATAAAATTCTGGGCTGATTGTTTTGTTTTTTTTTCTTTCACCATGTTAAGAACTTCATTCTACTGTCTTCTGATTTCCACTGTATCTGATGAGAAGCCAGCAGTAATGGATATCATTCCTCTCCTTCCTGCTTGTAATGTGTCAGTTTTTTTCTGAATACTTTAAAGATTTCTCTTTACTTTTAGTTTCCATCAGTTTCATCAGTAGTCATTGTTTTCCGTATTCATCTTGGCATTCACTAAACTTCCAGGACCTGAAAATTTGTCTTTCACTAAATTTGGGGAAATTTTGGCCACCACAAAAAAGTTGTTTTCTATCTTATTAGGTTCTCTACTTTTGGGTTTAAATAAACATGTTAGACTTTTGGATATTGTCACAGAGATCCTGGAGGATCTGTTTTTATTATTGACAGTCTTTTTTCCTCTTAGTCTGTTGGAGTGGGTAATCCTGATTGATTTAATTTCAAGTATACAGATTCTTTCCTCTGTTGTTACTAATCTCATTAGTGATTAGTAGATTTTAATCTCATTCAGCATAATTTAAATTTCAGATATTGTATTTTTTAGTTATAGAATTTCATTTTTTTTCATTTTCTAGTTTTTCTGCTGAGATTTCTTTGTATTTATTGCAAGTATAGTTATACTTTTTAAAAATCCTTCTGCTAATTCTAAGATTTGGCTTATCTCAGGGTTAATCTCCATTGATTATCTTTTCTCTTGAGATTGGATCACATTTTTCATGCCTTGTTGTATTATCTAGTAATTTTGGATATTATCCTGGACATGGTGAATGTCACATTTTTGAATACGCTGAGTTCTGTTTTATTCCTCTAAAGAATACTGATTTTTTTGTTTGTTAGTTGTTTGTTCTAACAGGAAAGTTAGTTGAATTAAAATTGTAAAAATCCTGTCTCTTCAGGGACATTTGATGTTTTCAGTTTTTTTATCCTTAGCTATCTGTGGAATTTTCCCCTTCTATGCATAATGTAGGGTTCAGCCTGGGATTTGAGTAGTGTTTACATATAGAATTTTTGGCTTTCTCTTCTCACTCTTTTTTAGGATTCCCCTTTCCTTTTCCTTTTCCAGTGGTTGCTGAGTCTTTCTTCTGTTTTTTTTTAGGACAGAAATCCTGAAGTTTTTTGTTGGAGTTTTAGCTGCCCTGAATGGCACAGAGTTAGCCTTGCCCGTCAGAAAAGAAGCTGTTATAAAATGGGAAACTTTCTTATTGCTCTGTTCTCTTCCCAAGTGTTGGCCCCCTATAGAATCTGACTTCCTTTGGTCAGTATCCAAAAGTGTGTTTAGGTAGTTGTTTTGTATAGTTATCTATAAGATAAGTCTGGTAGAGGCTTTCTTTCAGTACGGTAAGCAGGATTTGAAATCTTTACTTTTTTAAAAAAACCATAGTGTATCCCAGCTCATACTGTCATTTAATACAAAGAATAGCTGGATAAGGGTAGAGGAGAGTAATAGTTTTATTGTAACAGATATAAGAAAAGAAGTTGAATAGATATGGAAGCCAAGATTATAGAGATAGGGAAGACACTATTTTTGAATACATTTAGATTTGTTATATTATTTGAGGAGACTTGAGTAATCAAGACTCAGTTTGAACCTTTAAGACTTATACTCGCAGACATTTTTTGACTAAACCTTAATTTCCTCTAAAGTTGACAACATATATTTCCTTCATATCATTTTAATTGAGTATATTTATTCATAAAGAATCCTATACAGATGTTTACTTCATACAGTTATTTAGTTACCAAATCCATAACTAAAAACTAAATCCTTTTAGATAGTTTTTAAGAATATTTGCATTTCATAATACAAAATATACACTAAGTGAATGTAATAAAATCTACTTAATATAGGTCCCGGTCAAGACCTCGTCCACGGTCCCATAGTCGAAGCAGTGAAAGGTCCAGTCACCGAAGAACCCGTAGTCGATCTCGGGATAGAGAACGACGTAAAGGCAGAGACAAGGAGAAAAGAGAAAAGGAGAAGGATAAATGCAAGGATAAGGAATTACACAACATCAAACGTGGGTAAGTTGAAACAAATCTTAAGTAGTGATGACTCAGTGTGATTGCCATGATTCCATGGCAATATTCAAACTAAATTTTCATTCTCTCAGATTTTTCTTAGATGAACAAAAGAGGAAAATACATTAGGTAAAGAAGAAAGGATAAATCAAAATGGTTATCTCAGACTTTTACTGTGCTTCCTTTATATTCCTGTTTCCATTTAAGATTTATATAACAAATTTTAGAAACAAAATAAATGGCATGATCAAAGCTTAGTATGTCAGTAAAAGAAAATTTACATAATTCTTTAGGAAAGTTCTACATTCAATTTCCTTACCATATATATGATTTTACAATTTAAAGACTAGCTCATGATTAAAAGTGTCTATTAATTTATTGTAAAGCTGTTAGGGGAAAAGGGTAAAAGTAAAACAAAGGTAGGGAACCATGTGATTTACTATTGGTTAGACTTCTTTCTATATAGAATGGTAGTTGACCAATGTTCGGGGTGTGTTTGTGGATGTGTTAGAGTGAGTGTATGTGTGTGTGAGACCCAGAATTTATTTTTTCTGGAATTGGTATTATTGAAACAATTAGTCTCACTTTGTCCAGTTGGAGGTTGAAATCCATTGATAACTATTTGTTAAATTAGAAAATGTTAAAATGAAACAAAATCTTGGTTTGTAGTTTGAATTATAGCTTCTTGTTTGTTTTATTCAAAACTGACATTGGGCTCTTTTATTATATAAAGTAGAACATCTTGGAATTTATCCCCCTTTGTGAGTCTTTCAACACCCCATGTATATTCACTGTAATACTTCAGTACAAAAGCGTTTATCTGTAATGTATCAGTTTTCAGTGTTAAATCAAAGAGCTTGTCAGGATCTTAAATGTAGTTCCTTGAGATCTTGATTCCGTGAAGAATTAAATTTATCAAAGGATATGGAACTCGTCTCATCCTTTTCTTTTTCACAGTTGTCTGTGTGTTTATTTTTTATTTCCAGATTTACAGTGATACTATATAAACCTGCCAGATTCTTTGAAATGATAAATGTGTGGTGGACTTTGGAAGAGGATAGTATTATTATATGACTTTCTTTTTCCTGATGACCTCACAACTTTTAATGCACACAGAACAGTTGTGGTCCTGCAAAATTCCGAGTTCTGCCTTTTTCTAGTTTTAAGGATTGTTGAATGTTATAGGAGAGGAGATGGGGTTGGATATCTGGCCATAAGGATAGGGAGGATGAGTTAGCTAGAGTGGTAGAGTGGAATTAAGATCAGAGAGGATATGAGAGAAATCTATTGAGAGAGGGAGAAAGTCAGGAGGATGATAGATTTTTTTTTTTTTTAAGATTTTATTTATTTGACAGAGAGAGAGACAGTGAGAGAGGGAACACAAGCAGGGGGAGTGAGAGAGGGAGAAGCAGGCTTCCCGTGGAGTAGGGAGCCCGATGTGTGACTCGATCCCAGGACTCTGGGATCATGACCTGAGCCGAAGGCAGACGCTTAACGACTGAGCCACCCAGGTGCCCCAGGAGGATGATAGATTTGAAGAGAGGATAGAGAATAGCTTTTTGAGACTGGAAAATACGGACCAGGAGGATGAATAATTATGTCAGTCAAGGAACTACCTTGCTCCTTGTCTCTTTTTTGTTTTCTTTTTCTTTTGGTTTATACTTTAGATGTTGTGTGGCTATGAGAAGAGTGACTATGCTTTCTGGTAGTCATTAAATATTTGCTTTCCACTTCACCAGAATAATTACACAGTTGTATAAAATTAATATTACATAAAGCATTATTTTGGAGATTTTAAAGGTAAGAAAAATGAATGCATGGTTAAAAAAGGGAGGTTGGGTGGTTTCAGGAAAGATTCTAATATGGTGACATCAGTCTTGAAAGTTTGGGTCAGTTTTACAGGTTAAACTCAGTGGCGATTATGTTCGAGGGACTAAATCCTGGATGACAGATTTACAAGGTAATAATGTTGTATTCTTCATTATTTTTTAAATCTCAACAAAGGGGATGAACAAGTTCAAAACAAGAGGTGTTAGTTGAAGGGCTCTGGGAACCAATGTCAAAAAACTGTTGAGTAGCTTGATTCAGTAATTTCCATGGTTTTAGTGGACCATAGTATAAGGTGGTGTATATCAGGATATTCTCTCTTGTGGTTTGTGCCAAGGATATCCAGATTCTTATCTTTTGGTATGATCTAAATCAGGAATTTTGGGGGGGGGTCACGTACACATTTAATGATAGTATTTATATATGTACAGATGTACCCTGCTTTGCTTCAGAAATAATTTGTCTTTTTTTTTTTAAGCTTATGTGTTTATTTCTTAGACCTGATTTCTTAAGCCATTCAGGGCTGAGAATATATCTTTTACTCTTTTGTATCACTTAGAGTACCTAATGTACATGTTAGTTGTTAATAAATATTGATTGGTTATTGATCAGATACACTCATTCATTCATTTGTTCGCTTGTTCAGTCAACAACATTTAAATGCCTTCTATTTATGAAGTACTGTGTTGGTAACAAGGTCATAATAGTAGGCAGTCCTACTTGGAGAGTTCATGCAGATGGCAAAGTAAGCACAGATAGAAGGGAAGATGTATAAGTAATTACAGTGAAATCAGATGAATGTTTACTACGAAGCTATGGAAACAGTGTATGAGTTAGAATGCTTTTGGCCATAATTAACAAAACCTAAACAATAGTAGCTTAAACCAGGGACAGCAGACTTCTTTGTAAAGGGCTAGATAGCAAATAATTTAGGCTTTTTAGGCCCTATGTCTCTGTTGCAACTACTGAACACCAAGGCAGCCACAGATAATGTTAAATGAATGATATGGCTATATCGCAATAAAACCTTTATTTACAAAATGAGCAATTGGCAGATTTGGCCCACAGGTTGTAGTTTGTCAGCTTCTGGCTTAAACCTTCAGCACAATTTTTTTAGAGATTTATTTATTTATTTTATAGAGAGAGAGAGCGGGGAGGAAGGCAGAGGGAAGAGGGAGAGAGAAGCTCCGCTCAGCACAGAGCCCGATGTGGGGCTTGATCTCACAACCCTGCCATCACAGCCTGAGCCAAAGGCAAGAGTTGGAGGCTTAACTGACTGCACCACCCAGGTTCCCCCATGAGCACGTTTATTGCTAATAAAACAGAGTTTAGAGGTAAGCAGATTTGGGTACTTTTTAACTCTTCCAACAGGCCAGTCTTAGCCTCTTGGCTTTCATCCTTAGTCTTGACGAATTGTGGTTGCAAGATATCTCCATGAACATTAAGCTGTTTGGTCCAGACTAGTCAGCATGTCAGGGAAGGGCTCTCAGAAGAAGTGGTGAAGGAAGAGATGAGAAAGAACGTTATGTGCAAAACGAACTTCATGTGGTTCGTTTAGATTTAGAGGCAAGCAGGGGAGTATGGCATATTTGAGGAACTAAAGTCTAATGAGGCTTGGTTTAGAATTGAAGAGGAATAACGGTGAGAAATGAGTATTTGGAGTACCTTATAAGTTAAGTTGGGAGTTAATTCTAAAGGCAGTGAGAAGCTGATGAAGTTGCAAGCAGGGTAATGATACGATCAGGTCTACATGAGATATGAACAAAATGCTTTGTTTACCGCGGACATAATAAGTGTTTTACATTTTAAATATATTTTCTAAGTATCAGGAATTTTGCTAAGCAGTTGACATGCATTATCTTATTTACATATCATAATAGTCTCATGAAATAGGAACTTTTATTATCCTTCATATAGATAAAAACTTGTAGTCATAGAGCTAGTAAATGGTAAAGTTAAGCTTCTAATTCATGTTTCCTGACAAGAGCATCTTGACTCTTAACAGTACATTATCCTCATTCCTGTAGTAATCCATAATCATTGATGATGAGATATAATGTTTGAGATCAAGTCATATGCTGTTGCTTAAACTTCCCTAGAAAATACCTAAAGAGAACTGAAAGAATTTCTGTGCCTTATTTTTCTTTGATCAGGCCAGAAATCTGTCATTAGTAAAAGATTGGTTCTTTCTTTTCTCCCTCTCTTCTTTCTCACTATTTTCCTACAACAGCATTTCATATGTTTATTTAGAATTATATTTAATAAAAACCACAAAATTTCTAATCCTTGAATTTATTTCTGTGATCATTTTGTGAGCTGTCTCTTGCCAAATGATTTCACCCCCCTGCTGAAAAAAAGTGGGTGGAGAAAAAAAAATTCACAAATCATATATTTAGGACTTATATATTAGTTCATTGTAGTTGAGCAACCCAAGAACAATATTTTAGCTTATGTTACGCTAAATAACCTGGCTGCTTCCCCACATAAGAGAAGATAACACGTCTGCTTCTTTATGTATAACAATGTTTGTTTTTATCAGTCCAGTTTGAAAATATCAATATTATATGAAAATTGATAGAATATAAAGCATACATTTATAAAGTACAAATTAAGAAGAGTAAGAGCAATAATAGTATAGGACTATTTTATAAATTGGGAAAAATAAAAGTGGGAGAGGAAGGAATGTGCAAGAATTTAATGAGCCTAATAATAAGGAAGAGTTTTTTTATTAAACTTTTGAGGAAGAAGATACCAAATTAGATAATTCTGAAAAATCTTATAAATACAGCAAATAATTAAATATAGTTCTTGGAATTCCTGGAACATTTGAATGATTACATCTTATAGTGTTATAAATTGATCTTTTCATTTTATTAAGCTACTGAATAAGGAAGGCCTAATAAAAGCTGGGAGGGTATCAGGCGTTTGTAGGGACTAAATGTGTATTTCCTTATAATACTATATGAAGGATTAATTTTTTTTAAGTTTTTTTTTAAGATTTTATTTATTTATTTGAGAGAGAGAGAATGAGAGAGAGCATGAGAGGGAAGAGGGCCAGAGGGAGAAGCAGACTCCTTGCTGAGCAGGGAGCCCGATGTGGGACTCGATCCCGGGACTCCAGGATCATGACCTGAGCTGAAGGCAGTTGCTTAACCAACTGAGCCACCCAGGCGCCC